CTTTATTTTTATTATATTGTTCATATGATCCCTTTTTTAAATATATTTTAATCTTAAATCTAATAATTATCTTCAAATTCATTCCTATCTGATAATGATCTTCAATTTCATTTCTATCTTATTTTTCAAATGCGTCATATTTTAGCTATATATTCTAACACACCATAGAGTTTTTTTAGTGTTTGCATATTGGGTATAAAGTTTTGTTCAAGCTCTACGTTTAAGATTCAAGTTGCATTCAACCATCAACAACGTCACAATTAGTTAAGCAATTGTAGGATTCTAGGGTTTGATGAATTTTATTCTTTTTGTATACCTATGTGTATATGTACTAGGGGCATTTTTTGTTGTTTTCTTTAAAGGGGGCTTTGAACATTTTTACATTATTTGTAGTAGTGTTCATTTTTTCATTATTTGTAATAGTACCCATTTTTACATTATTTGTTTTTAAAGCTATAATAATATCCGATAGAAATATAGTTCAAGTTGCTAAATGACCTATCTGGACTAAGATAATTTTATAATCAATGTTTTAAATGACAAATTTATGAAAAAAATGAATGTATGAACTTAGGTATGAGATAATTATCATATTTAAAATATTTCTTAGTTACAATTCCCTGTTATATTTTAAATTTATAAGAGTTTTTTATTTTATTATACAAAAATGGCTATAATAAATTATTCAAATTATACATTCCCGTGCATAGTACGGGTTGCTGCTAGTGTATATATATATATATACAGAACTGATAGAAACTCCCTTTTTCTTTGACCCCCACAACCTTCTACTAACACATGTCTGTGAATGATAGGAGGGGGGGAAAAAAACACAAAAAATAAAAAGCAAAAAGTTGGCCAATCCCAATAAATTGGGGATGGTGGGGGTCAAAGAAAAAGAGGGTTTCAACCTTTTTCCTATATATATAAAGATATTTTGATTATTTTATCTAACTATATTTTTTAACAAAATATTTTAACATCTGAATTTTTGGATTACATAAAATTAAGATTTAGACTTTTAGGCCAAGCTCTCATACATATATATATATATAGATGTATTTTGTTAAAAATTATATGAACGCACTCTCAATGTTACAAATTTTGAAAGTTGGCACTCTACGGGCCTATGGATTGGTGGCTTATCCATAGAATACAACATATCAACTGACAATCGTGTTGACTCAAATTAACCTTGTAAAAGTGGGTGAGTCCAGTCCTATTATAAGAACTCCTTTACAGATTACAAATTAAATTATCAATTACTTACAGTCTGATATGGGCCACGGATTTATATGAATGTGTACACTTCATTGTAAGTAAGTTAGTTTTTAGTTTGTAATTTTTGAACGGTCTCTAAAAAGGTTCAAAAACATAATATAAAATACAACAATGATTGAGACCTCTAAATTTGGAGATCCCGTGACTCTTAAAATGATATGAATCATTCATGTGTGAGAGACAGGAAAAAATTAAATAAATAACACATTAATTGTCCAGATCATTTTAGAGGTCATGGGAATATCCAAAATTGGGAGTCTGACTCATTTTCCTACCAAATATGTAGAAGTATTCTTCCTTGATCACACCATAATTTAGCCTGACGGCGTACAATGAAATATACAGATAAACAAATAAATAGGGAGACATTCATGGAAGAAATTGAACTGTCTCAAAACTCCTCTACAATTATTATAATGGCTTGAAGAACCCTTCTTTCTCCCATCACTCAAACAATACTTGGAAATACTTACTTGATCATTTCAGTTCAGTTAAATGAAAACAGTTACAAAGGAGTAATTATTAATGGATGCCTTTTTTTTTGTTCTTTTTTTTTTCTCCTTTTCTTTTTTCCATTTGTCAATGGATAATAAGAAACATAAGAATCAAAAGATTGATTCCTTTTCCTTCTAGTGTTTTCTTAGCAACCAAGCAAGATTTTAATGAAAAAAGTAAACTACCATGGCTACCAATAACAACACGAAGAGCAACCAGGTGGCAACTAAAGGAGAAATATAGCTCCAAAGTCCTCCGTTTCCTTCTTGTAATGGATCACCACCCCATGCTAAGGCCTCTTTATTGTACTTTCTTTTCTCACTGCCCAGCAAACAATTTTTTTCTTCTTCAGCTAATCTAATATGGGATAGAATGTGAGGAAAAACCTTTTTATAGGACTCTTCCCCAATCAATAAATCCGAATGACCAAAGCCATCCACAACCACCCTTTCATGTCTAAAACCGGACTGGTGAAGCTTCATGTAGTTAGTTGCAAGAAGAGTAGTTTGGGGAGTCACAAGGAGAGTCCTCCCACCGGATATATAAAGCGTAGGGAGCGCCATTCTTTCGGGATGTATCAAGTATGAGTTTTTACCACTGCTGTCCACAATGAAACCAGCATTGCAAATCTTTTTGAGGTGAGGAAATCCAGCCATTGGAAGCCTTGGTAAGCTCTGTTTGTTTAACCAATAGTGCATGGAGGGGCTTATGTTGTCGTGCCAAAATGTGTTACCAAATATCCCAGAAAAGACCTCACATTCATCGCAGGTGCATCTCTCGTAACGTGGCACCAAACGAGCAATATATTTTAGGAGCTTTTGTCGTTAACTTGCCTTTGATGTCTTGAACAAAGGGAGGATCTTGTTCTTCCCTAGTATGACCATCGACATCTGCAATATGATTGGATTGGAGTTATAAAAGAATGCAGACCTAAAACATATATAAAATGGTGTCAAAACAATGTTCTTTGTAGGCCTACCTTGATTAGCCTCAAGAGTAATGGGTACCCCCATTTACAGTTTGTGAAGGCGTGAAGCCTCGATGTCTAAATTTTTTTTTATATTAAAGAATCAAAATTATAAGAAGAGATATGAATAGGTTTGACAGTGAGAACCACTCTTATCAATAGAAACTTATAAAAAATTAAATCTTAAGAAGCCATGAGAGGAGCTCAGCAAGGAGGATGGATTCCAGTAGTAAGGGATAGGGGCAGCCAGGACCTCGGAGGAAGGAAGGGAGTGCAGGTGTATTTACTGTGTTTGTGGATAACTTACCAGTATCATTGAACCCAAAAGGCCTGTTCAATCTATTCACAAAGTTTGGCGTGGTAAAAGATGTTTTTATACCGCAAAAAAAATGCAGGGTGACTAACACAAGGTTTGGTTTTGTGAGGTTTGGTTGCTCTGTGGTAGCTAATATAGCTGTCCAGAACGCCAATGGTTTATGGGTGGACGATCGATCATTACAGGTAAAACTTGCAGAGTTTGGGAAGGACAATGCTAGGGGTGAAGCTGACAGAATGCCGTTAAGTACCCAAGTGCGAAGACCAGTAATCTATGCTGCTAAAGGTGGAGATGTTATAACTGGGTTAAGTGGTCTTAGAGATAGAAGATCATATGTTGACACGGTGGCAGGAAAAGGGATGGAGAAGTAGGGTGTATTTTGGTGAAGGCAGAAGAGGTAGGGAATGGATGGTTGTTTGAGAGCATAATAATCAGATTGAAGGTACAATATGCTAATGTTAGTCTGAAAAAAGAGCTAGCAGCAATAGGAATAGAGGATGTAATGGTAAGAGATATTGGGGGAAGAGATGTTGTGATAACATTCAGATCAAAGCAGGAGAGGGCAATGAAATTACCAGCTTTTAGATTGGTGTGTAGATATTGCTGAAGGAAAACTAGGGTAGGTTTTGGAACAGGAAAGAAGTGTATGGCTCAGTTGCTATGGCATCCCATTGCACCTGTGGAATACTTCCAACATAAGAAGGATTGGTGGGGTGTGGGGGCAAGTCTTATGTTTTGAAGGTGATATGAGCCAACCACTGTCATTTGTGTGTGCAAAGGTTAAGGTTTCCACCAAAAGCATGGAACCTATAAACTCAGTTGTAATCTGGAATGTAGTGGGAGGGTGTTTCCAGTGAGAGTTTGTGAAGAGCGGGTGATCATGGTGAAAACAGGAAAATGTTCTTGCAAATGTCATAAGATTCAAGATGTGGTTGAGATTGGCAGTTCAAATGTGGTAGACGATCATAGTGTGGGTCGAAAATTCAAGAAGGATGAAGATAAAGATGCTGATGTAGAGGATGATTTAGCTATTGATATGGAGGATGGATATGATGTGGCTCAGGAAGGTAGGCCAGTTGGTGGAAATTAGAGTGAGGAGGTGGATGACATGGCATGCCGGAGGAGTGCAGAGGAAGCTAAAGCTGGTCAAAGTGATAGGGAGAATGTAATGAGTGCTAAGGTTTGCAACATAATGATGGAAGTGCAAAACTAGAGGAACGACTCAATTGAGGAGACGGTAGTTAGTCAGAGTATGGATAACCTGGTCTGTATGCAAGGTTATGTTAGAAGTTTAGACAGAACAAGTTTAGAAAGGCCTGGGGTGAATATTGAAGTAATTTTGGGCCAGACTAACACACCAAATAAGGGGGTTGGGCTTTGTAAACCACAGATTGGACTGGGGCAGCAAGGAAAATCTGTTAATGGTAAGCCAAAAGAAGTAGGGCCAATTGGGAGAGTTTTAAGTTTATCAGAAGCCCATGAGAAGGAGCCCAGTTGTAGTCAAAGAAGGAATATAAAAGGGAAAGAAAGGATTAAAAGCATAAAGAAATATAATTCGAATTTGCTACGAAGAAGGTCGGCTGAATTAATGAGAAAATATAAGAGTAGAGGTGCGGCAACAAGTTCGGCACGACCCAAGGCTGTAGCCTGGCGAGCAGCAGTGGCGGCAATGTCTTTATCTGCATCGATTGATGGTGGAGTGGATAAAGGGAGGGTCGTCCTTAATAAGGCTAAAGCAGCTCTGAAAATGGGGGAACTCCTCGGGGTGAAGCTGAATGGGAAGAGGGCTGAAGTGTTGGAGAAAATAGTAGACCTTGAATTGAAAGAAATGGAACGTATTGAAGGGGCGGTGAGAGTTGGGGAGTAGGGTATACCAGCTGGGTGGAAAATAGGAGAAACAGTGGTTTTCTTATGAAGATCTTATCATGGAATATTAGGGGGATGGGGAGGAAGGACAAGAGAAGCAAGATTAAGAAGCTTGTGAAGGAGAGAAAAGTAGATATTGCTTTGTTTCAAGAGACAAAGAAATCAGAATTAACAGAGGAGGAAGTCAGATCAGTGTGGGTAAGGGGCAAAATGGAGTATATGGTGGTGGATGTTGTAAGCTCTGCAAGGGATTTATTGTGTATTTGGGATCCAGACATATTCCAAGTTAAGGATTGCTGCAGCAATAGAAGGTTTATATTATTATTAGGTACTCTCTTTAACCAATTTGATTGTGCTATTCTAAACATTTATGCACCTAATGATGTGGGCTCTAGAGGGAATCTGTGGGATTATTTGTTGAAGCTGAAGGAGGAATTTCTTAATCCATGGTGTTTAGGAGGGGATTTTAATGAGATTAGGCAGATTGGGGAAAGGAAAGGGTGTTCGAGGAGAGATAGAGATATGAAAGAATTTAATGAGTTTATTGATAAGTGTGAGGTATTTGATTTACCATTACTTGGGAGGAGGTTCACTTGGTGTAATTCATGTACTGGTGAGAAGTGGAGCAAAATAGATAGAATTCTTGTAGACCCAAAGTGGCTTGAGGTGCTTAATTTTAAGCTGTTGGGTCTTCCTAGACTGGTCTCTGATCACTGTCCTCTTCTTTTGATGGAGGATAAGAGGGACTGGGGCCAAAAACCCTTTAGGGTATTAAATGCTTGGTTCTTACACAAAGATTTTCAGAGGTTCTGGGAGTCAAACTGGAAAGAGTCCAGTGTACTGGGCTGGGCTGGGTTTATACTGTTTCAAAAATTGAAGATATTGAAAGATGGCGTTAGAAGTTTGAATGTGGAGGTTTTTGGTAATGTACAAAACAAATTAAAGGCAGCAGAGGGTGAACTTCACTGTTTTGATATTCTGGTTGAGGGTAGAGACCTCGATGGTGTTGAAAAAGTTAGGAGAAGTGAAGTTAGAGCTGAGATGTGGAGGTTGAGTAGGATGGTTGAACGGTTATGGCTGCAAAAGTCAAACTTAACTGGGTAATGAAAGGGGATAAAAATACAAGATACTTCCATGTAGTTGCAAAATGCAGAATAGTTAGAAATGAAATAAACTCTATAATAGATGGGGAGGTGGTGGTTGAAGATCCGTGTCAAGTGAAGTATAAGGTGTTTGAACACTTTAGAAATCAGTACACAGAGCATTGGTCATCAAGACCTGTGTTGGGGGGTTTTTTCCCACCAATAGAAGGCAGGGTGAGGTCCGGATGGTTAGAATCAGATTTTTCAGTAGGATAAATTAAATCAGCAGTGATGGATTGTGATGGGAATAAGGCACTAGGACCTGATGGTTTTAACTTGATGTGTTATCAGAAGTTTTGGAAAGTCATGGAGGGTGATGTGGTTAATTTTGTGAAAGAATTTCAAAACAATAGTAAGTTGGTCAAGGGTATAAATAGTTCTTTCATAACCCTTATACCCAAGAAGGAGAATCCAATAGGGTTATCTGATTATAGACCTATAAGCTTGGTGGGCTCTATATACAAGATCATAGCAAAATTGTTGGCTAATAGACTAAAATATGTAATGCCTTATATCATAAGTGAGTCTCAGTCTGTGTTCTTGAATGGTAGAAATATTCTAGATAGGGTGTTAATAGCTAATGAGGTTGTTGACGGATGGAAGAAAGCCAAAGAGAAGGGGGTACTTATTCAGTTAGACTTTGAGAAGGCATATGATTCTATTAATTGGGGTTTTCTGTTTTCAATGTTCTCTAATTTTGGGTTTGGTGTTAAGTGGATCAAGTGGATTAAGGAGTGCGTAACAATTGCAAGGCTCTCAGTGCTTGTTAATGGAACTCCTACAGAAGAATTCAGCCCACAAAGAGGTTTAAGACAAAGGGGATCCTCTGTCCCCGTTTCTATTTAATCTTGCAGCTGAAGGTCTACATATGTTGTTGAGTAGAGCCTTTCAGTTAGATCTAATTAAAGGTGTTAAGGTAGGCCATGATGGTGTGTTGTTAACTTATCTCCAGTTTGCAGAGGATTCATTATTATTTTGTGAAGCTGAGGTGGATGAAGTGAGGAAGTTGAAAAGGGTGCTAAGGTTCTTTGAAATTATGTCGGGCCTGAAAATAAACTTCCATAAGAGTGTTGTATGTGGTGTGGGTGTTTCTAAGGAGATGTTAGATGCTTTTGCTGCAGTGTTGAACTGTAAAACTAAGTCATTACCTCTAAAGTATCTTGGGATGCCATTAGGAGCTAATCCAAGGAAGAAAGCTACATGAAAACCAGTTGTGGATAAAATCAAAAACAAACTGGCTAGTTGGAAGAGAAAGTTGTTGTCCTTCGCAAGGAGGTTAACACTTGTCAAGTCAGTAACTTCAGCATTGCCAGTGTACTACTTATCTTTGTTTAAGATGCCTGAAGGGGTTGCTAGAGAGTTGGAGAAGATTCAAGCCACATTCTTATGGGGTGGGTCTGAACTGGTAAAGAAAGTCCATATGATCAAGTGAGAGGACTTGTCTAAAACAGTAGAGAAAGGTGGTTTAGGTATCATGAAAATAAAGGATGTGAACAAGTGTTTGTTAATTAAATGGTGGTGGAGGTTTGGTAGTGAAAATGATGCTTTGTGGAAGAGAGTAATTTGTAGCAGATATAAGATGGAGATTGATGGTTGGATTCCAGCTCTAATTTCATCTAGCAGCCACTCGGTAGTATGGAAAGAGATTATTTCTGTAGCTGAACAGTGTAGTAGCCTCAAGGAGTTTTACTTGAATAATTTTAAGTTGAAGATTGGGGATGGGAGGAGGATTGGATTTTGGTCTGATACTTGGCGTCAGTCTGTTTGTTTGAAGGATGAATTTCCAATCTTATATAGGTTGTCTTTGGATAAAAAGGAATCCTTAAGAATTTTGGCTGATAAGAAAAGTATAATGGGTGGCTGGTCCTTTGAGTTTAGAAGGGGGTTATATGAGTGGGAGAAGCAGGAGTTGGCTAGACTTCTTGATTATCTGCTGGGGGCTCCTGTAGTGTGTCCAGAGTGCGTTGATCGGCCTACATGGTTAGCATCATCTGCTGGGGTACTAACAATAGCAGATTTATATAAGTGGGGTGTGGATAATACAGGTGCCATCATGAGTATTACCAAATTGATTTGGCTTAAGTGCATCCCTCCGAAGGTGCAGGTTTTTGGTTGGTTTGCGTGGGAAAAAAGAATTAAGTCCAAGGAATTTCTGCAAAAAAGTGGGGTGATCAACCCAAGTGCTTCCATAGCTTGTGTGTTTTGTGGCAGTGGCAGTGAATCAGTGCATCATGTATTAATTTGGTGTCCCTTTGTGTGGATGGTTTGGGCTGAAATGCTGGATTGGTGGGATGTCCAAGCTGTTATTCCAGGATCTGTGAAGAGTCTACTGCTGTGGTGGGCAGGGCGAAAGTTAAAGAAAAAAGAAAGGAAGATTTGGAGGGTGATTCCATTGGCTATGTGGTGGTCTGTTTGAAAGTACAGGAGTGAGTGTGTGTTTAGAGAAACTCTCCCAAATCTTGTGGATCTTTGTGACTTGATTAAATGTAGGATTGCTTTTTGGTTAAAACCAGTTTTCAGTGACTTTAATTTTTCAGTTCAGGATTTTGTGTTTAATCTGAGGCAAATCAGGAAGTGCTTGGGAGGGTCTGCTACACTTACATAGTGCTGATTGGTCTGCTGGGTAGTTATGGTGTGTTGGATTCTAGTGTTGTGTGTTGTTTCTGTTATTGTGGTTGCTGTATTGCTCTGTTGGTGTATGTTGTTCTGCTCTGTTGGTGTATGCTGTTCTGCTATGGTGCCTAGTTGGTGTGTGCTGCGTTGATCTGGTGAGTAGTGTGGGAGATTTCCTATCTGTGTTTGAATTTTGGTCTGCTATGGAGGTTCTGCTTAGTTATGGGAAGGATGCTTGATTGTTCTGTCTATCTCTGTTATGGTGGTCGACTTCTGCTGTGGCTCCAATGTTTCAGTTGTATAATGTAAGCAAAGCTTGTCAAAGTGGGGAAAAGTCGGTGCTCATTAGTTTTACTATCAGTTTGGTTGTTACTATCAATTTTGGCTCCTACCAGTTTATCTATCAGTTTGGCTTCTTAGCTCCAAGTTGTAGACTAGTTTATCTATCTGTTTGTCTTTTCTCTTGCTCTCTTTTGTTGGTTCCTCACCAACTGGCGCTTAGAGCTTTTTCTTAACTCCAAGCTCCTCTTTATTGATGTAATATTTCACACTTTGTATGTTTCATCAATAAAGATTTTGTTTTTTCCGATCAATAAAAAAAAAAAAAAAAAAAGAACCAAAATTATATAACCATCGTTTTACTATTACTTTAATTTCTGCTATATAAGTCACTAAATGATGAATATCTGAATGTTGAGAAATTCCAAATGATTCAAGAACGAGAACATAATGCTTCTATATTCAAACACGAGCCACTTTTCGATTTCTACCTATTGTACATTTTAATTGGTTCACCACGTTCGAATTATCTTTTATATGGAAAATCACTTCCAATCATATTTTGTGAGAATTATGAAGAGGTAAAGCTCAGCAGGATGAGGGGAAGCCACATTTTGACTCTGGATGAAATGGTGAGTTTGAAGAACATCGAAGAGTTGGTGCAAGACAGAGAAGCTATATGGGCTGCAGAGGCATGGCCTCCCATAAGAGCTACATGAATTGCTAAGCCTCCAACACAATGTGCAACCACATGTATTTTTATCAATGGCCCATGCAAATCACGAATTTTATTGATCACTACAAAAATAAAAATAAGAGTTAAAAATAGGCCAGTTGAGTTGGTAGTAACTACATTTTTTATATAGAATTTTATTTTTTATTTTTTTTGTGTACCAGCAGGTATATCAAATATGCCAATGTCTTCAATGGTGAAATTGTTTGAAGGATTCAAAGGGTGTAATCTTGGTTGCAGCAGCCATGTTTCATGCCCTTCTTCTAGTAGAGTTCTAACCAAATCACTTGGTTCTGTTGGTAGCCAATAATTCTCAGTGGAATGACCATTAATTAGGAGAACTGGATTTAGTTTCTTCTCTCCTTTCCATTGCTTGCAACTGATGATAAACCCATCTTCTGTTCAATTACCAAAGAAGCAATAGCACGTTGAGAACTCCGGTACGAAAGGTAAAAAATAGTAAATAAATAAAAAAATAAAAATAAAAAAAAGAGTACTGATATAGTCCATAAGGTGCTCTAGGACATATTACTATTTCAGTTGTAGTTATCCAAGAGTATTGGTTCAAGACAGTATTGGATTGAGTCGGAACAATTTAGAGAACAAACGAACTTGCAAGTTACGAATCTATGAATTGTGATAAGATATCAACTATATTAGATAAGGATAGCTGCAGCATTACTTCTACTACAGATGCACACACAGTATCTCATCCATCAGTCAGTTAGAGTTTGTTAGAGTGTATACCAGATTTAGTTTCCAACCCTGTTAGTTGTAACTGATTGTAACTGGTTCTAAAGGTGTATATATACACCTTGTAAATGTGTTTACTGTATTGAGGATTTGAATAAAATAATACAATCTTTCATCATGGTATTAGAGCTTTGAGCTCCTCCGAGCATAGGCATCCATGGCTACTTCGAATTCTGACTTTCCACTTCCTCCAAATCTTTCTTTGCTTCTTTCCAATCTATCCTCCTTTGTTACAGTTAAACTTGATACATTAAATTTTGTGATTTGGAAATCACAATGGCAGAAAATTCTGCGAGCTACAGAACTTCTTGGATATGTTGATGATCCAAGCTCATGTCCACCATTAACTGTTCTTGATGATTCAGGTAAGAGTGTTTCCAATCCGGATCGAGTGAAATGGAATCGTGTTGATGCACATCTGTTGAGTTGCATGACTGCTACTCTTTCTCCATCAATCTATTCCACGGTTTTACACTGTAATCATTGTTCTGAAGTATGGTCTATCTTGCATCAGCGTTACACTTCATTTTCTCGGTCTCATGTTCATCAATTGAAGAACAAATTGAATAGTATTTCTAAGAAAA